CCCTGAAGATGAAAAGCTAGTTTTTTACAGTCTCTAAACTGATTCAAACACAAAATGATTTCTGCTTATAACGTCTCTGAAAGAGGGCACAAGGAAATGAGGTGTTATGTTGGTGAAGATCTGCCATTCCATTTCTACAAACTCAGGTACATACTTAACATACTTAAGTTGTGAGGACTGAGGATGAAGACAGATGAATGCTATGAGAACAGTGAAGAAAAGCTAGTACCCCGGCTTGCCCTTCACTGCTTAGTGCCACCCACTGCAGAATTCATCACCACTGAAATCTGATGTCAAAGCTACCACACAAGTGCTCTTTAACCTGACTCTGGTGACAGCTTCTCTAACCTTTCTAATCTGCTAACTAGTCCTATATTTTTACTGAGATATATTTGAGAGCAGTAACGCAACAGCTTTGCTGGCAGATCTGTGCCCTTATTTTCTGCAGCATTTTCTTTCCTCATACTATTTATATCTGTGAAAAAGTGCATTCTCATCTGTAGAACTGAAAGCCATCATTTCACATATACTTTTAGTAAAATGGTAAGACATTGCAACTATTTTCAGTGGAAAGAATGGTAGTTCCATACTGATTTTCCTGTCCATGAAATTTGTATTTCCATTGGGATATATTAGTTAGTCCATGGGCATGCCACCTCCTACTTACTGTCTTGAGCAACCGTTTTCATTTTAAAATATATATATATTTAACTCAAGGTTACAGATGAAACCTTCAAAAACAAAGCAGTATAAACTGCACTGTCTTTTGTAGAATCATAGAATCATAGAGTATCTAGAGTTGGAAGGGACCTATAAGGATTGAGTCTAACTCTGTGCTCCTCGCAGGACTACCTAAAATAAACCAGATGACTAAGGTCATCGTCCAGACGCTCTTTAGACTCTGAGAGACTTGGTGCTGTGACCACTTCCCTGAAGACCCTGTTCCAGTGTCCAACCAGCCCCTCAGTGAAGAACATTTTCTGAATGTCTGAACTGAACTTCCCCTGAAGCAGTTTCATTCCATTTCCTCGTGTCCTACTTCCATTTCCTTTTGTCCTCTGTGAGGAAGCAGAGAGGTTGCAACACATATCTGGTTATCAGTCATTGATTTCATCAAAAAGCAGACCAAAATCCATGAGAAATTCTAAAAGTGACGTAGCATAGCACTGTATAAAACAAACAAAAGAAATCAGACATTAAAGCCTGCCTCAATACAGTAATGCAGGAGATTATTTGGAAAAAAATATTTTGACCACTTAAGATGAAATTGAATGAGCATCTTCCACTATTCCCCAAGCCTTGAATTCAAGACAGATTCCCTGCTGTAATGACAGCTCTTTGCTGCAAATGCTTAATTCCCAGGAAATGCTTTGATATTGCTGAACATCTGCTGGAAATGTTCTTGTCTGACCCTACTCACAGGTCAGACTGTGATGTTAGGGGTGTAATTAGGCTTTTCTATAAGTAAACTCAGTTTTCAAATTTGTAGGGTACCTTGACTTGAACCACTTTTAACTCACTTGTTCTAGTGCAAACAGAACACAAAAATGTCTGCTTAGAAAGATGTTTATACATGAATTTTGAATCTTAGTTGTTTGTGTGTAGGCAATCAGCTAGTTATGATTTATTTTATTCACTGCTGTTTTAGCAAATCACAGATACATATCTCATCTAACTGCAAAGACTTGTTATTTCATTTAACTACATAAAGGAGTTGTTCCTGCAAGCCAGTCTCAACAGTTACACCTCCTGGTCCTAACACTGAAATTCTTGAAGAAAGGCATTTGATAAAATAGCTAGTCAATCTGTCTACATGGTATTTTAAAAAATGACCTCATGAGAAAATTTCCCAGTGAGGCCCAAAAAGCACCTAGAATTGATAAGGTTGTCCATTATCAAAAAGGGAAGCAGTTTTTTCTTCAGTCATGACAACTTAGGCAGACATAAATGTACAGAGACAACATTCACTAATGAGTAGATTTTCTCCAGTCAAGATGAAGATTGTGCTGGTGGTGGAAGACAAAGAAGCGTAGGCATATTGCTGTTTGAAGTCTATTTGACAGAACACATTGAATCTTGTAAAGTCCTCCAGATTTAAATTGTAATCTGGGTAACAACACTTGAGAAACTAATTAAGGTAATCTTTTGCGTATGGGAAAAGAAAATGAGTAGAAAGTTCTTCAAGAACAGCAAAGATGTAAAAGTTGATACACTTGAAACAATTTTTGTTTCAAAAACATGTATAGTTTGCACTTATCTGGACCAGTCTGCAGCAGTAAAGACAGAATTGCTTACTGCAACAAGTTCCTACACAGAAAGAGAAGTAACTCCAGTAAGCTATGTTTCAGTCTGGCTCTAGAGAGTCTGGCTTTCCAGCTCGAGACCCGTATGTGAGTACAAGCCAAGAGAGTGGCCATCTTGCACAGTGTTCAATGCAGTCTGTGCATTGCACAGGGTACCTCCCCAGCTGAAAGAATGGTCTGTTACTTTCTGTTGTCTGCAAAAGCATTTTGCTCTGCCAGTGCCTGTCAGGGAAACCCTGCCAACATACTTGTCACTCTTGATGACAGCTACAAAGCTATCTCAGTTATAGCCTATAGGATTGATCTAATATTTATGGACCACTAGCACAGGAGAAACAATAGTTCTGACTGTCAGGAAAAAAAATATCGGGTGGAATGTATCACCATAAAATTCAAACAAAGAAGAGGACAGCCCTGCCTTACTATGCCTTTATCATCATTACATCACAAAAAGACAGAGACTTACAAAGTCGTATATATAAACCCCTCATTTTTCCTCTGTTATATTGATATAAACATAAATGATGGAGACATTTTTTCACTTTCTCTAGTACGCTACATTGAAAATTTGCAGCTGAAGGGGTTCCAGTAGGAAGCTGGGGATGTTCACTAAGACATACAACTAGAAGAGAACTAAGTGATGTGTTGTGTCTATTTCTGCCCTCCACCAATTCGAGTCTTTTGGAAAGATGTTAAATCTTTCAATACTTCTGTTTCCTAACTTCTAAGATCAATATATTACTTCTTAAGCATAAGACCTCTTATAAATCATTCGGAAATTAGGAAAGAAAAATGCAAAGTAAGAGTTAGTTATTATTGCTTTGTGTTGCCTTCTTATCCCAGAAAGCCTAGTATTTCTTTTTCCTCTTCTTGCTGTTTAAACACTTAATTGGGCGTTGGAAGATGTGAAGTATGTGTCACGGAACAAAGAATGATAGGAGAGGGTAGTGCTGAAGCTTCTCCATCAGAGCAAAACGACCTGACCTGCTTGAACATGAGATGCTCTAAAGCTAATTTGAATCACACTGAGTACCTCTTGTTACTGCTGTTGATGGGAGGAACCCACATGTATGTTCTTATTTTGCTGTGCTCTGCTGACTAGAGAGCATTTGGATTAAATGCATCGTTGGCGTCTAAAGCCCACATTTCTGTATTGCAGGAGAAAAATAAAGAGTGCATGAGTAGGGAGAGGGTAAGTTAAAAAGCTTGGAGCTGGTTACTGTTGCTAAGGAAACCACTTCCCTGGTACTCGCACGTTCATCACATCTGTCTCTCCTGCTCCGCCTGGCTCTAAGAAAATCTTGTAACTTGATGTTAAAAAGGGGGGAGAACAAGATTATGTTTCAAAGTAAAATGTAAAGAAAGCACAGTCTTTACATACTCAAACAACAAGACTGAACAAGCAGTTTAGAAAAAGAAGCTGGTATTTAGGAAGTTCAGCCTTTTTATTTCCGAGTTGTGTAAGGACACCTAGAAGTTGCAACATATGTCAGTATGATGGATACAGCTACATTTGACATTCTGTTAACATGTTCAAATCATATGCTGCTTGCACTTCAGAAACAGTGTAAGACACATGCACATTTAAAAGAATCCTAACATCAAGATTCAGGGCTTTATTACAGATGAGTTTCTGGAGATCTCTGGAGCTATCTGAACTGGGGAAGCTTCAAGAACACAGAGTCCCAAAAATAAGGAGGGTCACTGCACAGGGTGAGGGATCACACAGTATGTTCTGGAATAATAGTGCTTTGGTGTCAAGCATCATGAGGCTTGAGACGAGAATCAGCACAGTTAGGGATGCTTTGCAGGGAGGGCGTTTTTATTCTATTTTTTTGTGAAATCAGTGAGCCAGTGTCTAAGAGCGTAAAACTCTGAAGTGTGACCTGACTTCAGCATTGATAAAGTGAGAGAAGACTTGGATTAAATTTGCAACTGGGAGATGCCAAATTAAGTTAATGTCAAACACATGGAAAACTACAGCAAGCGTAGCACGTAAAATTAGAATCTGAGTCATGATACAGGTCAGGTACACTTTATATTACCCTGCCACATATGGGAAGTCTTGGTGCTTTAAAATAAATCCAAATCTTCCCACCTTGCTTCATTCTTCTTTCTGCTCTATGTTAGTCTTCCTCCATCTACTATAGTCACCTATCAAGACTACAGAGTACTCTTACTCATTGAAGGGTTGAGCACTTCAAAATAATGCTTCCTAATTACAAAAATAAATAATTTTTTTCTATTTCATTTTCCCTTTCGCAAAAGCTCTTGAACAGCTTTCTGTAGAGTATGATGTATTGAAAGGGGACAGCTTTTCATCAGCAACAATTAATGAATTATCCTCTTCTGCTGTTCACAAAATATCCATGAGTGGAACAAGATTTTCTCCCTTTTCATTATTCTGATTAAGACATGAAGTAATTTCGACAGATAATAAATGGAATGTAGGTTTTTGTAGGCAGTTCATTGAGAGTATCTTATTATTCAAACAAGAAAAGATGGTAGTTTGTTTTCATTCAAGGTCACCTAACTAAGTTCGTGTTTTCCAAGTCACATCTTGCAAATGGGTTGCTAAGATGGCTACTTACATTTCTGGAAAATTCACATTTTAATACTTTCCATTCCAAAAGTTGCCTTGCTGTCCTTACTGTGATACGTGTGAGAAAGCAGCAAAGCGTGTTTGCATTCTACTGTCAGCAAACAGGAACTCTATTTTTCTTTTGAATGTGCCTTTCTGTAGAACCAGATCTTTCTGACAAAAGGGTTGCCTAACAATATTTCTTTAGACATCTATTCTTCCCAAAATCAAAGTAAAAATAGCCTTGCCTTTGAAAAGATAATTTCTCAAACATACTTGTGTTTTAGGGACAAGTCTTCAAATTTACTTTATGGATCATCTTAGTAAGCAGTAATTTCTAAGAAGTTCCTTTTTCTTTTTTAGTTTCAAGAAATCAGACTCTGTGCAAACAGCCCGTTTTTCTTCGTGTGCTCACACGGAAGATATTTACCTTATCTGAAGAGTTTCACTCCTAGAAGAAATGCATGAGATTCCCTATACATGGTGTTACAGTTTATGATTAGAATCAGTAACATCTTTCAAACTGAGTTGTTCTTTACAGTATAATTAGGAGAGTGTTATGTGTCAGATTATAGTAACTGTTAAGAGCTGTCTTTCAAGTATCTTATATTTATCAAGCAGAAGATACATTTTATTTTGCAATGGTTAATAGTATATCTATTAACCTTGCTATCAGACTTATACCAAACTGAGCAATAAGACAAAGCCAAATATTATCACCCAAGACAGATTTGGCTTGAGTACCAGACTTCCAGTTAATTCTGTCTGTAGGCAAACTTAAGTCTGTGATCTTGGTGTGATAGACTGACAGACTTTGCAGCATCCACAAAATGTAGCAAATGTATGAAATGGCAGAAATAAGCATTTATATATTTACTTCTTGTTAAGTATGATAAAGTTGTGCGTTGTATTCCATACACTTTAATTTAATCTTTAATAGGAGTAGAGTACATGCTGTTGCACAAGAATCAGTATAAGATATTGTTTTCACAGGTTCAAGATGCTTTCAGATGTCGACTAAGAAATTGCCAGGATCCAATCAATGCAGATTCTTCAAGTTCTTTTCCTAATGGACATGCCCAAATCATGGTTAGCTTTTGTTTTTTTATATGATTCTTAATTTAGTGTTTCTCCCCAAAACAAAAAGCTTACAGTACTGTACGTGGCAAGTGTGCACAGCTGAAATATTAACACCATTTTTAAGTGTAAGTCTGTTTAGGTCATTATCTGCTTGCTTAAACCTCTTAGCAAGTTTTAAGTTACTGGTGTGATCATTTAATGGACCACAGTGAATTAGTGTCTTCCACTGGTGTTCTCTATGGCAAAAGATTTTTACCTAAGAAAATGATAAAGTAATCTAATAATACATCATGACTTCTCTTACTGTTGGTGTAAAAAGCACTGATGCATTTAAGAGTTTTCCCTTCACGCAGCCTTGAAAAACATTTCTCTCTGAAAAAAATTCAGGCAAGGAGAAAGTGTTAGAGATTCTAGAGGGGGAATCTATTCAGTGGCTTGAATTAAGGAGATAGTGAATGGCTTGGCATGACAATTTGGATTTATTAATATTGTTAGGTAGTATATTAAGGCAAAATATTGGTCATTGATTATAATGAGGAAAGGATTAGGCCCTAAAAAACACGCAAGTCTCAACAAGCAGATGCCCGTCAGAAAATGATGAATCAAAAAAGAATCCAATGTTTGGACTTCACAAGCAAGAAGGAGGTTAATTTATTAAACATTTTTCATGTAGTAATATTTTGTGGAAATAAAAATATCATTTAAAAATACTCAAATTCTATAGCAGGATAAATAGTTTTGCATAACTGGGAAAAGTGTCCTTACATTTTCAACTGTTAAAATTCATTCTTTGCTCTTACAAACTGTTTTTGCCCAATGAAATAAATAATAGTTGTTTTCATGGAGGACAAAATTTAAATTATTACATTAGTAGCAAGTACAGACAGAATATTATATAACAAATAACCACCTCATAAAAAATTAAGGAAGTTTCAGACAGGGTGGACTAATTGGATTAGACTTATTCACAGTAAATTGTATTGCAGGCTGTTTTCCATACTTCTGTTTGTAAAATTACTATGAAAAGCTTCCTTAAATATGATCCATCCATAAGACGTAGAAGTTACTCTTCCATATACATAAAAACCCTATACACTGTATCGTTTTATTAAAATTATATACTCTACTTCCACCTATTTTATTTTATTTTTTCTGGTCAGGCAGCATACTTTGAAAACCACCCAGTTATACTTTAGGAAACTTTGTAAAGTTCTGCTGTTGTAAAACAATACACTTCACCTTCTCAGCAACAAGAAACCACTTTTAAGAGACTCTGTAAGTAGGACATTTTGGAAGCGCTAGTTGGAAAAAGGTATTGTGGTTCAGTTTTCAATTAATAATGGTGGTCCCATTTCATGTTTCTTGTTACAGACTGATTTTGAAAAGGACGTGGACATTGCTTGTCGGTCAGGTAAGAACACTGTGAGAGTATTTAGGCAACAAAAAGAAGTCCTGTACCAGTTCCTTGTGAAGTGAAAACCAGAAAAACATCAGGGTTTGATTTTTAACAACACATATTTAAAATTGTAAACAAAAAATTTGATGCCACTGTATGAATACATTTATTTCATTTTCTTACAAAAGCCTTTTACTAGAATTCAACAGTTGGGAAGCAGCCAAAGGTAAGATTGTCTATTAGAGGCAAATGGTTTTGGAAAGAATGTCAGTCTTACAAAATTTTCCTTTCCCTAGTAAACGAGCAAATGTGAAACAGTTATTTTTCTATAGGAAAAAAAAATTATTATAGCATATCTTAAAAGCTATGTGTAGGAAGGATGAATCAATTGGTTTAGTTTTAAAGACGGCAAGTGTTTTAGGGCTCTAAGTGAAATCAACAGTAGCTTAAGCAACATGGTATCAGGAAAATGAAATTTGATTCCACGTTATTGGAAAAAGCTGGTTTTTTTAAGATGTTTCAGTAATGTGATCTTTAATGAACCAGGTATGTCTGTTTCCACATATGAGAAAAAAACACATTTTAAGCAATTTATTTGAAAACATTGCTTAAATAATCACAATGTAAAGTAAACGGTCCTTTAAACCCTATAGAAATTTTTAACCTAGGAGACATGCCCAAAGGACAGTTTTACCTAGCGAGGCAATCCTGCCTAGACACCGGTTGTTTTCAATGAAGAGGGAAAGAAAGAGAGAGAGGGTGTCCTTCACAGGGTGAGCCAGGGCAGAAGTCTGACTTAGCTGTTCTGCATCACCCACCTGGAGGACACTGTCTCACTTTGCTGGCTATATGGGGAGCCAAGAAGGCTGATCTCATGAAGGTAAAGTTTGAGTTTCCAGTCATTCACCTTCAAAAAACTGCCAGTTCTGTTTCTTGCAATATGGTAATAGTTCTTCCCTACAGATTAGTTTTAATATGCACATGTATTTTAAAGGCAGCAGGACAGTACATTGTAACACAAATGCATTTCCGTCACCATCCAATGCAGAAAAAAATCCAGCAGTGGTCCATGTAGCTCATACTTCTTACCTTTGCCAACATAGCTCTGCAGTACAGAGAGCCTTGTCAGGGGCATCATTAACGAGATGAACTTCGAATACAGTTATGAACAGCGTTTACTAGATAAACATTTAAACTCAGTTTCTTTTAATGAAAGATTTAAGAATAGGTCACTGGTTGAAGTGTCTTAAGAAGTGTGACTGGAAGCAGTGAAGTAGCCACACTGAAGTCGGATGTTTGTGCGCTGTTGTTTAAAGGCAAATTGTTCTTTTCACAATGGAAAAATGAGAGGCAGTTTTGTGTGAGGTGGCAGAATGGGATGCCTTTTGAGCTGTGTGCTATGGAGCATGGCAGTGAGCTGACAGGTACTGAGGGATCTGGGTCATCAGAACCCTCAGGCTACCAGAAGGGATGTAAATGTAACACTTGAGATACTTCTAGTTATCTTACTGTCTCAGGCCTTGAGTTGGATTTTATCACAAAAACTAGCACTGGTGTGAATTAAAATATTTTCTACTGGGACAAGAAAATACTTGTACCCAGCTGGAATAAGCCCAGTAATTGGTTACTTTAATTTTTTTCTTACTGTCTTTTTTCTTTCCTTCTAAATGTTGAGTCATAGATTTATAGTTATTTTTTAAGATCAATAATTGTGATTGAATAGATGCTTTGCTTTTGAATGCATCCTTCAGTGCTCTGGGAAATTTCATATTCCTTGACAGGATTAATAACTTCTACATGTGGACCGTACCCCAACAAAAAACTGCTGGGTGTCGCTACAAGCTCGACCAGGAAGGCCTAGGGCTACACCAAAAGCTGATTATGACTGTTTTATAAGACATATTTATCTTATTTATAACCTTTTCAGATGCCAAAAAATATCTTTCCAATGGAATTTCTTCCCAATGTTGTTACTTTTTTGTCACTTTTATTTAAAAAAATAATTTAACACAGAATAGTTTTAAAAAGTCGATGAACAGGAACAGATCAGGAACATTTGTTCATAGTTATAAACTTACGGTAGACCATTACAATGAATTGAAAAAATGATTCTACCTTACAATCTGTTTGACATTCTCCTGGAGGTTATGTGGAGTTAATAACGGCAGTACAGATGTCATAGTCTATTTTTTTGGAAAACCCTTAATTGAGTTCCACATGGCAAGCTTTTGCTTAAGCTGTAGGTCACCTAAGATCTATGTAAGGCAGTAGGAATAAATGAAGAAGTGTTTTTAATTTCTGTAAGTGACTGAAGCTTAATCAGAGATCTGTGTCAGTTACATACAGTAGATTAAGAGATGTTGATTTTTTTAAAAAACCTAAACCTTCCCAAAACAGTATTTATAAAATAAATTTATTAAATGGATAGAAAAAGAGTTAAGAAGATACGCTGGTGAAGAGAGCACTGCTAAATAAAGCCACAAGAAAAAAGCAGTGTTAGGCAGACATGGTTTTGTGTTGTAAGAATTCTGTTCTCTGATCCACAGTTCTGCATAAAGACATTGGACCTTGCAGAGCAGCTACTATAACAGGAACACTTTCTAGAATTTCACTGAACGATGAAGAAGAGGAGAAGGGACCAAACCCTGAAGGAATGAGCTATTCTACCCTGCCTGGAAATATCATCTCCAAAGTCATCATCCAGCAACCAACAGGTCTCCACATGCCAATGAGTATGAGCGAACTGGCCAACCAGTGCTTGAAAAAAGACAACAGTGAGCTGCGGAGGACTGTGTATTTATGCACTGACGATAATTTGAGAGGTGCAGACATGGACATAGTCCATCCTCAAGAAAGGATGATAGAAAGTGACTATATAGTCATGCCCCGGGGTTCAGTAAATACCCAGCCATCACTGAAAGATGAGAGCAAAATGAATATAGGCATGGATACGTTGCCTCATGAAAGGCTTTTGCACTACAAAGTTAATCCAGAGTTCAATATGAATCCCTCTGTAATGGACCAATTCAATATAAATTTAGACCAGCATCTTCCCACCCAAGAACATATGCAGAGTTTACCGTTTGAGCCCCGCACAGCAGTGAAGAATTTCATTGCCTCGGAGTTGGATGACAATGCAGGATTATCAAGAAGTGAAACTGGATCCACAATATCAATGAGCTCTTTAGAGGTCAGTGGTGCATAAACAAATTGCATGCTCTGTTGTTCTAATTATACGATAAGGCAACAAATTGTGTCTTGTGTCTAAGGGGTGAAACTAATGTTTTAATTTCAGTATAAATTATTGTTTGGGATCATACACTGCTGTTCATATTCCTCTTATTATCAGAAGTGTTTGTACCTAGAAAACAAGATTAAAGTTTCAGAGCCAGTCTGTATGAAACTGTATAGTTCTGGAAACAGCATTGCACACGACTGCAAAGGATTTCGTGACCTACCTGGTAAAGTCCACTGGAAAATACTAAATTTCTATGAGAAGAAAAACTATTCCTGCAAGATATGAGTGATTATCACTGACCCTACCTGCAAGCACATGCAGTTGAAAATATTTGCCATTTTATTGCTGACAATCATATCTGTCTCAGATATGCTAGTCTGATTCTGCTCTCACTAGTGTAAATCTTGGATTCTTCCATCCAATATTTCACCATGTACTGATTTAGTTTTGTTTGCATGTGTATGCAGGCATTGGTACAACTGATATGTGCAATCATGTGGAGTATCCTAGATTCTAGTCAGATTGCAAAAGTGAACTGGAAAGCCTCTAAAAGGGATTCAGTTCATACTACAATCTGTCTGTAGGATACAAAACTATGAAAGTGAAAACTATTTACATCATTCCTTAAGACCCAAGTGTCAAATACTGCCATTCCTATTAAGCTTTTACTTACGCAAAACCACCAGTGAGGTGGAGTTAATTTCATTCATGGATCTCCATAAGAACTGGAAATACATTTGACCAGCATGTCAAATGTTATGAAATGCAGCATTTGGTGGGAAAGGAAAAGACAAATGAGAAAAATATGGTACTTTGTCATTTTCTGAAAGCAGTTACAGATGGAGAAAAATTCTACTGTGTGTGTAAACTTGAAGCCATTAGCTT